CTCTTAAAAATCTTCTTTGAATGGCTGCTGCTTGGGAGATTTCTATATATACATTGCTGGGGCACCTGGGTGGCTCAGTCGGCTAAGTGTCCAACTTAGGCTCAGGTCGTGATCTCATGGTTCGTGGGTTTGAGACCCACATCGGGCTGTCTACTGTCAGGCCCTGTGCTGACAGCTCGGAGCGTGGAGCCTGCTTTGGATTCTGTGTCTCCCTCTCTCTCTCTCTCTGCCCCTCCCCCACTTGCACTCTGTCCCTCTCTCAAAAATAAACATTCAAAAAAAAAAAAGGTATACATTGCCATTTTCCCAGCCACTATAAGGTATTTTCCCTAGCCTATTCCAAGAAATTAGCCAAGACTTTCTGAGCATTGACTCAATGGTTTTTGTGTGACATGCCTAATGACAACATTGGCAGAAAATCAAGGCCCAAGATCCTGGAAGAGGTGGAGGAGAGAAGACTGAACACATTGGAGGACAGAGGCAAAGACACCTCTGTATGGGGAGGTGCAGTATGGGGAGACCGCATGAAGCCAAGAGAGATTACCTTCTTAGGTGGGGCATGTTGTGGAACTTTCTGCAAACTTGAAAGACAGGGGAGGAATTTGAAAATAACAGATTGCATATCCTACCAGAACCTACAGGATCAGGGTACAGAGCAGATTAAATTAGATATAGAGAATTTAAGAAATGTGGCAATTCTTACTCCAGAATTATAGAGGAAAATTCTTACCTGCTGATGTGATGTTTTGTGGCAACATCACCAGCCAAACTCTTAACTAGTATGGAAGGTGGCAGAGGGACCTTGGGCAAAGTCATGATTAAAAGTGACTACTCTCCAATATGGCTGGAAGGGCAGGAGAGAAGAAGGGATGAGACAGGATTTGACGGCCAAGGGGACTTTGGGAACCCAGTCTGGTGATAAGTAGGAGCTGCCACATTAATCAACCGCAAAGTCTTCACCTCCATAAGTCATCTTGGAGTTTGTCAATTTAAATGGCTGCAAAGCACCTCGCATGTCCATCCGTTTTTATTAAAATGAATTCCATCTTACAAAGTTGAGTTGGGAGAAGAAGTTCTGTTATGCTTCTTCATAACTTTTATTTGATTAACTTTTTTTTTTTCAAAATGTCTCCCTTGCTTGAAAATGACACGGTTGCTGTTAGTAGTAATTCTGTGTGCGGCCACAGGCAATGTTCTTAGAGGCATGCGGGCGGGTCAGGGAAGATGCCTGGACCGGCATTTCAGGAGTCCTAGCCTTGACCTCACCACCACTCGCCCTGCATCACTTTGCAGGTCAGCTCACCAGTGGACCTCAGTGCTCACCCCTATACACTGGAAGGATGGACTGGAAGTCTAGAGTCCCTTTCCATTTTAAATTTCTATTCGGTCTTAAGTGCACTTATGACTTTAAAAAGGGAGTTCACAGAAATACGGACCAATCCAATAAGCCAGAAGAGGATGGCTGTGCACACCATTTGACAGATGTCAAAACACTATGAGCAGCTGGCTCAGGGTTTGTCAGGGGCGAGACTGGATCTAGGCATCTCATTCATGCATGCAACAAAAGTCTGTTGAACAACTACTATGTGCCTTCATTGTCCTTCCTGCTGGGGATACAGCAGTGAACAAAACAGCAAAAATCTCTCGTGGAGCTTAGGTTCTAGTAACAGGAGAGACGCTGTAAATAATACAAATCAGAAAACTCATGTAGCAATCAAGATATAGAGAAGTGCTAAGAAAAGGGTGATAGGAAATGTGGGGGTGTATGCAGGCTGCAAGTTTAAGTTCCAGAAGGGGTCAATGCCTGGTCCTAAACCCTACTTTTTAAACCATCCATGATACCATGTGACCCACATGCTGAGCAGATGTGTGGCAGGCTGGGAAGGATGTGAGTGGTCCTGGGGCCTTATTCTTGTGCTGCTTCTCCTGAACCTATGATCTTAGGAAAGAAGCTTACCCTCTCGGCGGTTTGTTTCTTCTTCAGTAACATGGGAATTAAATATCTACCTCCTGCACCTGTCATAGGTTAAAGGCTATATGTCACCACATAGTGTGGAGCCTCAGGTTCACACTCCCTAAGATGCCCTTTCCTGTATCACATGGATAGCAGGGGAAGGTTCCCCCCAGCTCCAGCCCTCTTCTGTGGGTAAAGGGACCACCCTGCAGAGCCTCCCTTTTCTCTCTCAGGGAGGGGGTCCTCCAAACCTCCCTGCAAGAATGGAGATGCTCTGTTGGTGCCTGCAGGGAGCATTGCTGGCTCCTTCCACATGCAGAGGAAATGACTCAGGGGGTCTTCTCCTCTCCTCCAGCCCACCCTTCTCACTGCAATCAGAGGCCCCCTCAAAGTGCCTCTTGGAGCCATCCTTCCCGTGCCCTGGGCCAAATTCCTGTCCTTTGAGGCCTTCCTACGTCTCCATCTCAGAGGGCCCCACTCAGTCCTCCTCACACCAGACTTGAAGCATCCTAGAGCCTCTGTAGCTCTGCCCCCCCCCCC